AGGGTGGATATTCAAGGTATTATTGGTCAAGAAAGAGTAAAAATGAGATTGAGCATCAAGGTGATAAAGTAGAAAGTTGTCTCTTCCCTACCATTGGGAACCCATATGGTAAAGTAGAAGTTTTTTTGTTGGATGATAAAACATGGTTGCAAGCACATCGATATGTGCTCTTCAATTGTGAATCCAATATTTTTGAAAATTGCAAAAAGTGAGTAGTATATATTTATCTTTTAGTATATATTTATCTTTTTATATATATCTTTGTTTGATAATAATATTGATATAAGTTACTTGTGTAGTGACCACATAAATGAGATCAAAAGATCAAATCGTAAGCCCCGCCTTACACAACATCAAGTTGATCATATCCATTTTAATTCATTTCATGATTGGTTCAAGGAGCAAATAAGTAGTAATATTTAATCATTTATTAATGTAGATTAATTAATACGGATATTTATGTTTGTGTGTTTGTGTATATATATATATATAAATACTACTTAATGGTTAGGTTAAGGATTGGAGCTCGTATTTGATGTCCAAAATGATCTAAAAGCCCTTGCACAAGGTCCAAGTTACATTGCAAGAAGATTCAAAGCATTCGATATAAATAATGGGTATTGATTTCGAACAAAACAATATGAAGAGGGCATGAAGACCCAAAATAATGGTGTCATGGTTGTTTCAAAGACACAGAGTTATGCAAGTACAAGTGATAATGCTCCAAAGTCCACATATATAACTTATTATGGTAGATTGAATGATATTGTGGAGTTGAATTACTTTGAAGAATTTAAGGTTGTTTTATTTAGATGTGATTGGGTTGATGTAACCCAAGGTAGAGGAGTCAAGGAAGATGGGTTCAGTTTCACACTTGTGAACTTCTCACATTTAATATACTCCGGTGATCGGGAAAGTCATGAACCTTTTGTATTTGCAGGCCAAGCTCAACAAGTAATATTTGTTCAAGATATTCATGATCATCAATGGTTTATTCCTAGATAAATAAAACCTCGAGACATTTTTGACATGGGACATAAAAGGGGAAAATGGGTTGGGTTGACCCAATCCAATGGATTAATTTTAAGAAAGGAGTCAGGTAGCGTTAACCCTATCTACCTCATTTGCGTTCTAAAGGGTTAGGGAAAAAAAAGAGGTGAAACAAAAAGCTCTAAGAAAGAGTACTCAGGGACGATTATAGATCACACCAAGATCATTCGTCTTCTGCTCATCCAGGTAAGGGGGGAGTAAGAAACATCGCTCGGGGCTGTGGGAATAATTGTTGGATAGTAGGATTGGCCCCCAATCCCTTGCCTGATGCATGCTTCTAGGAATAGGCAACATATGAACATTTTCAGTTTTGCCTTCTAATTGTTCTGTTGGGCTTCTTGTTAGATGTGATGTGTAGATATGCGATTGATTTTGAGAATGATCATGTTTTGATATGTATTAGAGTGTTCTATGGGTTCCTACAGGAACCCTATGAGAAACAGACAAAAATATGAATGTTTTCTGTTTTGCTTTCTGAATGTTCTGTTGCGTTCCTATTGTGATGTTGAGTGTAAATATGTATTCAATTTCGAAATTAGATAAGTTTTGATATGAATTAGAGTGCTCTGTGGGTTCCTGTGCGAAACCCTAAGAGGAATAATTATAAGAATGACTATGTGAAATATGAACACATGATGAAACATGATGTGAATGAAATATGCTACTATGAAAATTGTGAATATGCTATGATGATGTGCTATGATGATGTGATATGATGATGTGACATGGTGATGAGACATGATGACGAGACATGAAGAGGAGACATGACAATATTATATGAGGATAAGACATGATAATGTGATATGAGAATGCATAGGGTTTTGAATTACATGCATCATTTGCATTTATGAGCTAACAAGGTGTACCTTAGGGTCACTGGTGATGTAACAAGCTAACAATGTGTACCTTAGGGTCACTGGTGATGTAACATGCTAACAAGGTGTACCTTAGGGTCACTGGTGATGTAACAAGCTAACAAGGTGTACCTTAGGGTCACTGGTGATGTAACATGCTAACAAGGTGTACCTTAGGGTCACTGGTGATGTAACAAGCTAACAAGGTGTACCTTAGGGTCACTGGTGATGTAACATGCTAACAAGGTGTACCTTAGGGTCACC